TGAAAAGTAAGATGCTGGTACAGAAAAGTGTTTATTTCAATTCGCTCTATATAATGATTTTGTGCTTTACAAAGCAACTGGACATAATGGATCCTTCCTAAAGTTCCAGGAAGAGATCATCATGGCCCTTTTGTATCCAGAAGGTGCTATGGCCCAAACCCCCAAACCAGATGCAGTTAACTGCATGAGATGCATTTTGGTGATGTCATTCCTGGTACTCCAACCCAAAGGACACCCCAAAAAAGATGTTGTTACAATTAGGAGTGACACGCTTTTTTTTTTTTTGTCCCTCCTGTCCTGGCCAACCTGGTCTCTACCTCAAGGACTGCTTCCGTCGCTACTATACACTAGTGGACTATTCGTATAGGGTACAGCACTACATAGGTCAGGGCACATATCTGCACAGGGTCTCGAAAGAATGTTAATCAGGAAACTGGCTATCGCATTTTGAGAGACCCTACAATCTGTTTAAGTAAAAAAAAAATGTATTTTTGTTGTCGAGTTACTATTTTACTGTTATGGTTTTACTTTTTCTGTTTTATTGTTAACCGTTGCTGCAGAAATGCCATTCAGCTGCTGCACCGATCTGTTTATTCTGACAGCAACAGGGTCTTGCTCTAAGAATATACATAAGTATGTGCAGCACTTTTGGATGAGATTTTTCATCCACAGTTAAAGAGCATATATATCGAAGCATGGGGGCCTGGGATGGCCAGTGGGTGGATGGCCCCTATGTTTCGGCATATATTTAAAAAATATATATTTGGCAGAGATTTCTTCTTCCACATCGATTGATGTGAATAGAGAAATCTGTTCTTTTTTTGAGTGGGCTGAATTACAAAAAAAGAACATTTCATGTGTTCCCATTAGAAGTGGGTGGACAGGGCAGTATATTCTAATGGTGGGCATACCACACACTTTATCTGGCAGACATTTCTTCTCTTTTTTTCATGCAGCCCACAGGCTGCATAAAAAAAAAAGAACTAGGACCAGTGACGTACTGGTACATCACTGGACTTTAAGTAGTTATACCGAGATGATGGCTGCAGCTGCAGGCATCATCTTGGTATAATTTTTTTCAGCTGGCGATCAGATTTCATATAAACACAATCCTAGTGGCTAATTAGCTAAAGTATTGATTTTACAAGCAGCAAGAGAAGATGCCCCCCCCCTTACTGTCTTTCACGGCCTTCTCAGGCTGTCCCGTGCCATCAGGGGAACCTGAGAATGCAGCCACTGTGTCAGGGCTCCGGGTATGACCAGAGGTGTGTGGACTGACACAGGGAAACGCAGGCTTCAGGTATAGTGTAAATAAGACAATTTATTGAAGACTAAACAACACAAACGCAGTGCAAGGTAAACATAACACAGTGCAAACAACCCACACCCAACAGATAACCATATATACAATCAAACATAGTCGGGCAGGCCGGGTCGGTAGCAAACGGGCAAACAGGGTACCAGGAGCGAGCGGAAGAGTGGTCAGGAATAGCCGAGGTCAGGACAGGCGGAGTTCGTTCAGAGTCAGGATCAAGGCAGAGTCAGGATCAGGCAGGAAGCAGACAGGAAGCAGGTACAGGGGCTCATGGGAAACATACACCAAGGCCCTGACTGCAGGTCTGGCCATTCCTTAAATACACCTCCTGCAATCAGCTTCAGGTGATGGCTGATTGCAGGAGTTAGCTTCTGTTTGCTGAGAGCACCCGCTGGCCAGCCCTGGTACTGCAGCCCACACGACAGTCTGGTGTCAGCAGCAGCGGGTGTGGTCGTGTGGAGAGTGAGCTCTGAGTCTTCCAGAGGCCTATTGCGAGTCGGGAGCTGGATTTCCCTCCCTGCCCAGGAGGAATGAGTGGTCCCGGGCAGGATCCAGGCAGTGGGGGCCCCTCGGAGGATCCGAGTACCGGTCTCTGTGTGTCATCTGGGGATGTGGGAAAGGGTCCGAGGAAGGGGGAGCCCTATGCGATTTATAAAGATCGCAGGAATGTATGTGCAAGCCGGATCGGCCGTGAAGAGGAGAAGCTAACTAAGCTGAAAGCAGAGGTTAAAAAATTCCGCAGTGCATATGATCGTTTGTGGAGTAATAAACGTGTGGCCATGAAGCCTGATTTGGAAAAGCTGGAGCAAAAGCTGCGGGTTCAGAGCAAGATTGTGTCTACCCTGAACGCTGCCGGCAGCTTGCTCCGTGAGAAGGGTGATGCTGTGGATTGTAGCAAGCTGGCCAGGGGGAAGGCTGTGTTGGCAGCGAGAGGCGCCTTGTCATCATCATCCCTGGATGATCCGGCAGAGGGGCAGACCAGCATGGAGGAGGAACCATCGGTGCCGTTGGAGAATCCTGGAGCAACCGTGCAGAGCTGAGTGGCGGGCAACTCTAAGGGTGAGGTGGTGGAGGTAGAGGATACCGCAGAGCTGATCCCCCCAAGGCAACAACCGTCTGACTGGGGGTCGCGGGTGGATATTGCGGAGGCGGCTGCTGAGATGCAGTTTGTGAAAGTGTTGGAGTCCCTGCTGCAGGGGCGACATTTTCAGTTTGGTTCTGAGGAGCCTGATGAGGAAGAGACTGGGGTCTCCAAACCTCTGAAGCTAAGAGCGGTGGAAAATGCGGTCTTCGTCAAGTTGCAGAGACTGCCGGAGAAAGAGTTGGCTCATGTGCGGAGCCAGCAGGAGCCTGGCTCAGAGCAGGGTGCAGGTAGTGTGGAGGCATTGCAGGCCAAAGGCACAGAGGACTCAGTTGGAGACAAGGGGGTAAATGTGGTTTCAGCAGGAAATGTTTGTGATAAATCTGTGCCTGTTTCCCTTAGTTCCCCCCTTACTGCTGAGTCGGGGGGAGCTGTGGTTGTCACGAAGGTCCCTGGGCCTGGCCCAGTTCTTGGGGGGGGCTGATGGTGTAAATGTTGCCAGCGCATCTGCACTGGGTTCTGTTGCTGATGTTATGGGTAGGGCAACTGCCACTAGTGTTCTGGTGTCTCAGGGGAAGGATATTACAGTAGCTGCAGGTGGCCCTGTTTTGGGCCCTGACGCTGGGACTCCTAGCAATAAGGTGGCCCCTGGGGGCCCTGCTGCCGGATCTGGGGTCAGGAGTTATGCGGCGGCTGTTGGTGCCCCTGCATCTGGCCCTGTTATTGAGGACCCAAGTTATAATGCTGCCCTAAAGAGAGCTCGGTTGCTGATGGGTCACCCTGGGGAGGTAAGGTCAGGGGTCCCCCCTTCATCAGTCAAAAGGAGGAATGTGGTCCAGTTGAAGTGGCATGGACAGGGTTCCCCTCCTAGCAGGAGAGAGGTGGTGGACCGCCTGTAGGGTCATTGCCCCTGTAGGGTCAGGGGAGTACAATGTCTCCTTTGTCAGGAGTGACATGTTGGATGTGTTCTGGCAGAAGTATGATGATGAGGTGGAAGGGGTCGGAGAGATTGGAGGGGCTTGTCCCCAAGGTAATTTCTAGGCAGCCTTTGGTTAAAAACATTACCATCCTTGTGCGTAATGAATCCATCCCTGCAGCAGATATCATGATCTGGCTGCAACGGTATGGGGAAGTCCTGGGACCCCTTAGGAAGGTTAATGATGATAGGGGGATTTGGACAGGAGGGTGGACGGTTACTATGAGGCTGGGGGTGGCAGATAATGTGGTCAAGCACATTCCTTCCTCGGCCTTCATAGGTCGTGACAGGCTAGTGATTTTTTTATGCTGGGCAGCCTAGATTGTGTCACAGGTGTGGCAACAAGTCCCACTTTGCCTCCTCATGCTCTGTGCTGCGTTGTTCTCTTTGCCAAGAGGTGGGCCATATTGCCAAGGATTGCAACCAGATTAGGTGCAACCTGTGCCTGCGGCTGGGCCATTCTTACTCACGGTGTCCGGAGGCTTTGCACAATCAGCCAGAGGTGGTGGAGGAGTTGGTGAGGATGGAGGCGGAAGAGGCTGGTAGTGCAGAACAAAGCTTGGGTTCTGTCATGTCTAAGGAAAGTGTTTCCTCTGCAGTCCCTGGTGTCCCTGCTGCTCCTGTAGGTTCTGAGCCTGTCAGTATGGGAGCTGTCAGTTTGTCCCCTGTTCCAGTGGTGCCTAAATCTCCTGCTGGGCCCATCTCTTCAGGCTCCAAGCTTAAAGAGGCGGCTAGAGGGGCAGGTTTGCCTGGGCCTAGTGTGGTTCCCCCTCCGGTGTTATTGTCCCAGTGTTGCCGGAAGAATCGTGTTAAGGCGGGGGAGAGAGTGGTAGAGGGTGAAGGTACTAGTTGGGGGGTAGGGAACCCCAGTGGTAGTACTGGTGAGAAGGAGCGCAGTGGACGAAGGTGGTAAGGAAGGGGAAGAAAAATGAGATTGTTATTTCCCCGGCTTCGTCCGTATCTTCTCTAGATGTGGGAGAGCTTTTTACTTCAAATCAGTTTGGAACTCTGTCAGAGGATGAAGGGGGGTCAGTAAGCTCCTTATCCTCGATGGAGGAAGGTGGGAGGGAGTCACCTGAGGAAGTGGTGGCCTTTGCAGGGAAAGGGAAGGGAAAAGGAAAGAGTAAGAAACGCCAATGACCCAAATGGCAGTTCCCACTCCGTTAAAGGTGGCGACCATTAATGTCGCCAGCATTAAATCTGTAAGTGCTAGAGATACAGCCTTATTTTTGCTCAGCAGGATTGATGTTGATGTTTTGTTTTTGCAAGAGACCAGGTTGTGGACACAGGATCTCCCAAAGCAGGCTGGGAATCAGTTATTGGCCAGTTTAGCTGGACATCAGGGGCTGGCACATCAGGATGGGCAGCGAGCGGAGGCACATCAGGCTGGGAAGTGGAGAGAGGCACATTAGGCTGGGCAGTGGACAGAGGCACATCAGTCTGGGCAGCGGACAGAGGCACATCAGTCTGGGCAGCGGACAGAGGCACATCAGGCTGGGCAGCGGACAGAGGCACATCAGGCTGGGCAGCGGACAGAGGCACATCAGGCTGGGCAGCGGACAGAGGCACATCAGGCTGGGCAGCGGACAGAGGCACATCAGGCTGGGCAGCGGACAGAGGCACATCAGGCTGGGCAGCGGACAGAGGCACATCAGGCTGGGCAGCGGACAGAGGCACATCAGGCTGGGCAGCGGACAGAGGTACATCAGGCTGGGCAGCGGACAGAGGCACGTCAGGCTGGGCAGCGGACAGAGCCACGTCAGGCTGTGCAGCAGGCACCGGGCCCTCAGGCGGAGCAGCAGGCACCGGCCCGTCAGGCGAGGCAGCAGGCACCGGCCCATCAGGCGAGGCAGCAGGCACCGGCCCATCAGGTGAGGCAGCAGGCACCGGCCCAGCAGGCGAGGCAGCGGGCACCGAGTCACCTGGCACGACAGCGGGCACTGAGTCATCTGGCACGACAGCGGGCACCGAGTCATCTGGCACGACAGCGGGCACCGAGTCATCTGGCACGACAGCGGGCACCGAGTCACCTGGCACGACAGCGGGCACCGAGTCACCTGGTACGACAGCGGGCACCGAGTCATCTGGCACGACAGTGGGCACCGAGTCACCAAGCTCAACAGCGGGCACTGAGCTATCTAGCAGAACCGCGGGCACCAGGTCATCTGGCAGGACAGCGGGCACCGAGTCATCTGGCAGGACAGCAGGCACCGAGTCATCTGGCAGGACAGCAGGCGCCGAGTCATCTGGTAGAACAGCGGGCACCGAGGCACCAGGCCGGACCACGGGCACCGAGGCACCAGGCCGGACCACGGGCACCGAGGCACCAGGCCGGACCACGGGCCATCAGGCTGGATCGGGTCATCAGGCTGGATCACGAACACCGGGTCATCAGGCTGGATCGGGCCATCAGGCTGGATCGGGCCATCAGGCTGGATCGGGCCATCAGGCTGGATCGGGTCATTAGGCTGGATTGGGCCATCAGGCTGGATCGGGTCATCAGGCTGGATTGGGCCATCAGGCTGGGTAGCGGGCACCAGGTCATCAAGCTGGATAGGATCATCAGGCTGGATCGGATCATCAGGCTGGATCATGAACACCGGGTCATCAGGCTGGATCACAAACACTGGGTCATCAGGCTGAATTGGGTCATCAGGCTGAATTGGGTCATCAGGCTGGATTGGGTCATCAGGCTGGATTGGGTCATCAGGCTGGATTGGGTCATCAGGCTGGATAGGGCCATCAAACTGGGTAGCGGGCACCAGGTCATCATGCTGGATAGGATCATCAGGCTGGGTAGGATCATCAGGCTGGATTAGGCCATCAGGCTGGGTAGCAGGCACCAGGTCATCAAGCTGGATAGGATCATCAGGCTGGGTAGGATCATCAGGCTGGATCGGGTCATCAGGCTTGATCGGGTTATCAGGCTGGATCGGGCCATCAGGCTGGGTAGCGGGCACCAGGTCATTACGCTGGATAGGATCATCAGGCTGGGTAGGATCATCAGGCTGGGTAGGATCATCAGGCTGGATCGGGTCATCAGGCTGGATCGGGTCATCAGGCTGGATCGGGTCATCAGGCCGGATCAGGTCATCAGGCCGGATCGGGCCATCAGGCTGGGTAGCGTACACTGGGTCATCAGGGCATCAGGCTGAACAACAGAAGGCGGGTTCTCAGCAGGCTGACCAGTTTGGATACTGGTAGGATGGTACTGGTTGGAAAGAATTTTCGCTTCTTCTTGGGTTTAGTTACTGGGGCACTGCAAGTAAATGCAGGTCTGTAAATGGATGGAGTAGCTGGGGACAGAGAAGAGCTGGAGGGTGGAACAGAGGAGGGAATAGTTGTTACAGCAGTCTTTTTTACAGGGTTAAAGGCAGGATAGGTGCAGCGAGTGGGAACAGGGTACTGACATGTGGTAGATAACAGGGTATATTGGGCTGTAACTGGGGGTGCTGTCGGGAATGCAGGAATAGAGCTTTGAGCAGAGGAATGATTAGAAGCAGGACGGGTTTGTTGCAAGCTGGCTGAGGCTGGGTGTAACAAGTTTGACCAGGACTGTAGTATTCGTTGAACAAAAACTCAGTTTACACATAGCCTGTCTGACCAAAGACTGCACTGCGTTTATACACTCCACTAGCACATGTGGTGAACATGCTGAATAATGTTCCCAGAAGCAATCCGGATCATCCTCCAACAACCATACCAGTGATTCTATTTGATCCACACTGAATGGTGAAAGAAAGTCATCCCTGCTTTCAGGGGTAATAGATGAAGCCAACTCAACACAAGCCTGAATCAATGGTTGCACCTCAGAAAACTCTGTGCCCTGATCTACTAGGGAATGAGCGACCCGTATGCATTCTAGCAGCTGATCCCTAGTATACTCCTGTAGAGTCTGATAGGCATATTCTCTGTCATCTAAGACTAGCAAGTACAAGTATACCACCTCCTCAGGATGCATCCTTCCCAACAACAAGCCAAGATGGCTTCCCTGTGCAGCCACTTCTGGTCAGGATTAGCCTTGGTGTAATGTCAGGGCTCCGGGTATGACCAGAGGTGTGTGGACTGACACAGGGAAACGCAGGCTTCAGGTATAGTATAAATAAGACAATTTATTGAAGACTAAACAACACAAACGCAGTGCAAGGTAAACATAACACAGTGCAAACAACCCACACCCAACAGATAACCATATATACAATCAAACGTAGTCGGGCAGGCCGGGTCGGTAGCAAACGGGCAAACAGGGTACCAGGAGCGAGCGGAAGAGTGGTCAGGAATAGCCAAGGTCAGGACAGGCGGAGTTCGTTCAGAGTCAGGATCAAGGCAGAGTCAGGATCAGGCAGGAAGCAGACAGGAAGCAGGTAAAGGGGCTCATGGGAAACATACACTAAGGCCCTGACTGCAGGTCTGGCCATTCCTTAAATACACCTCCTGCAATCAGCTTCAGGTGATGGCTGATTGCAGGAGTGAGCTTCTGTTTGCTGAGAGCACCCGCTGGCCAGCTCTGGAACTGCAGCCCACACGGCAGATGAGTCCCACTACTAATGGTGAGTATATTCCTGACACTGTTTCTGGCAGCTGACCATAGAGCTGATTGGAGACCGGAATGGTGCCAATCATCTCTATAGTCTAAGAAATCGGAAGCTACGAGCATTTCATCACTTCAGTTTTGTAGGATATAAGCAGAGCCATTTGTAAATTGGGAAAGTATCTGATCACACCCGATCTTAGTGAGATCAGATGATGTAATGGCAGAGGAGATATCTAGAGTTTAATAGACCCCAGATTTCTCAAAAAAGAATACCTGTCAATTCCTATTTCAGTCACAAGGGATATTTACATTCCTTGTGATAGCAATAAAAGTGATCAAAAAAGAAAAAGAAAGGGACAGTGTAAAAATAATAGAAAAAAATCTAAATAACTACAAAAAAAAACCCACCCTCGCCCCCCCTGCGCATGCGCAACTGCTTATTCAATTGTTGACCCCGTGCCGGTACGTAAACACCAGTTGCACCATGCATGTGAGGTATTGCCTTGAACGCCAGATTGGGGGCAGTAATTCTAGCACTAGACCACCTGTATAAAACTAAAATGGTGGCTTGCTTTTAAAGCGTCGCCTATGGATATTAAAAATGTATGCAGTTTGTCGCCATTGCTCGGGGCATGCGCAGTTTTAAAGCATGTCATGTTCAGTATCTATTTACTGGGCATATCATTATCTTTTATATCTTACCAAATAATTGGCCAATATATTGTTTATTGTTTTTGTGCATTAAAAGTAAAAAAAAGTGAGTTTTTTTTTAATTTGCGATTGAAAAATCGCTGCGCGAGTACTATGTGGCATGAAAATTGCAGCACCCACCATTTAATTCACTAGGGTGTCTGCTTTTAAAAAAATATATCATTTTGGGGGGTTCAAAGTAATTTCCTAGCAAAAAATACTGATTTGTTTTCTTTTCATGTGAACAAAAAGTGATGTGTGGCTTAAATTTCTAATGCCCCCACCCCCAAAATGATCCCTTTTTGGAAAGTAGATACCCCAAACTATTTGCTGAGAGGCATGTTGAGTCAATAGAATTTATTTTCTTACTACAAGTTTTTGTAAAAAAATTTTTTTACACAAAATTGTCACTTAAATGATTTATTGCTCACACACGCCATGGTTATATGTGGAATTACTCCCCAAAGTACATTCTGCTACTTCTGGGGATACCACATGTGAGAGACTTTTTGTCTAGCCAAGTACAGGACCCCAAAATCCAATAAACACCTTCAGGCTTTTAAAGGGCTATATATTTCCTCATTACACTTCCTGACTACCTATCACAGTTTCAGAGGCCCTGAAATGCCAGGATAGCAGGATAGTACCAACCCCCCCCCCCCCCCCAATTACCCCTTTTTGGAAAGTAGACACCCCAAGGAATTTGATAAGAAGCATGGTGAGTATTTTGCAGATCTCGTTTGTTGCCACAAGTTTTTGAAATATGAAAAAAGAAAACAAAAACCTGTTTTTTCTTTTCTTGTGAGAAAAAAATGAGGTCTGAAAAATTCTCACCATGCCTCTTTTTAAAGTCCTTGGAGTATCTACTTTCCAAAAAGGGTTTTTTTTGGGAGGGGGGGTTGGTGCTATCCTGGCATTTCAGGGCCTTCCGAAGCTGTGATAGGTAGTGAGGAAGTGAAATGAGGAAGTTACGCACCTTCAGGCTTTTAAAGTGGTCATTGGAATTCGGGCTCCTGTATGTGGCTAGACTCCCAAAAATTCTCACATATGGTATCCCCATACTCAGTAGAAGTAGCAGAATGTGTTTTGGGGTGTTATTCCACATATACCCATGGCTTGTGTGAGCAATATAATCATTTAAGCGACAACCTTGTGTAAAAAAAAAATAATTTTTGTCATTTTCCAAAACTTGTGGAAAAAATAAATAAATATTCCATGGGCTCCACATGCCTCTCAGTAGATAGCTTAGGGTGTCAACTTTCCTAAAAGGGGTAAATTGGGGGTGTTTGTACTGTCCTGGTATTTTAGCACCTCAAGAAATGTGATAGGCAATCAGAAAGTAAAAGCTGTGGAAATTCCAGAATCTATACCATAGTTTGTAGATGCTATAACACAAACCAATTAATATGCAGTTATTGGGATTTTTATTACCAAAGACATGTAGCAAAATATATTTTGGCCTAAATTTATGACGAAATTTGAGTTTTTTTGGATATTTTTTATGACACAAATGAAAAAATATCTGGGTTTTTTTTCAAAATTCTTGGTCTTTGTTTACAGTGCAAAAACACAACCCAGAGATGATCAAATACCTCCTAAAGAAAACTCTATTCGTGTAAAAAAAAGGACATACATTTCATTTATGTTCAGTATTGCATGGCCGCACAATTATCAGTTAAACTAGCGCAGCTCTGTATAGCAAAAAAATTTCATTATGTATACCATAGTTTGTAGACGCTATAACTTTCAAACAAAGCAATTAATATACACTTATTGGGATTTTTTTTTACCTAAGACATGTAGCAGAATACATTTTGGCCTAAATTTATGACTAACTTTGAGTTTACTATATATTTTTTATAGCCAATAGTAAAAAAAAGGTTTCTTTTATAAGTTTTCGGTCTTTTTTTGTTTATAGCACAAAAAAAATAAAAAAAAAAAATCAGAGGTGATCAAATGTCACCCAAAGAAAGCTCTATTTGTGTTAAAAAAGGACATCAAATTTGTTTGGGTACAGTTTTGAATGACTGCGCAATTACCAGTTAAAATGTGCAGCATTGTAATGCAAAAAATGGCCTGGCCAGTAAGGCAGGCAAGTGATTAATTTGTCAAATATGTTACATAGATAAAAATCAATTGCCTATATAAGGTTATATGTTGATATAGGTTGTGTACCCACTGCTGCTTAAAAACCACACACTTGCTTCTCAACTATTACAGGATTTGTAGCCTTTTGGAGATAAGTACTCATAGGTAAACAAGTTTCTCAATTAGCTTATTCAGGATAATCTCAGAGGTAATTCAGGCCGTTACCATGGCAATTGTGTAGGGAAATCCCAAGGCTGGCACCAAGACAGACATGGGAGCAGAACAAAGGCGATCAACAGGTCCATTCATAACATAGAAAGGAAAGGTGTGGCCATAGCTCATCTGTCCCAAATATCAGATAAAGGCTAAGCAGCCCATCTACTACACAAAGAATTAAATTAACAGACTGCCAAAAGTTGCCACCAGGAGCCCACACATGAGCTATGGCTACGTCTTTCCTTTTCATCTTACGAATTAACCTGATGAGCTTCTGTTGATCACCAATGCTCTGTTCCCCTTTTGACTCGGTGTCTGCCCCAGGAGTTCCCTACACAATTGCCATAGTTTCAGGTCTGAGTTACCTCTGCCATTATTCTCAATGTATTTCAATGTGAAGAAGCTAATTGAGAAAGCCATTGACTGTATGGTTGAAGGCTGAGGAGAAATCC